TATATATATATATAGACATAGATATATATAGACATAGATATATATATATATATAATAAGGGTGTGTCCTTGGAGAGGACATTTATACATTCTAAAGAAAAGTACAGCTGTCAAACAAAGTACTGAACTTTGTCGAGTCCCAAAGGTAAACAAATGCTAGCAGCTTAACTAATCTCTTCTTAGGACAAACCTGTTGATTCACAAATGCAGCATGCTAAAAACAAAACAAAACAAAAAAAAAACATAATCATATAAAACAATATTGCCAGCTCAGGGCCACACCATGATACAATGGCTAATTACTACAGTGTATTGTTTTCATCCCTGTGCTGGTGTTTGATTTTTGGTTTGTTCAAAATCCCTGGTTCCCTGTTCAAACACAGAGGTTGATGAAGTAAAGGGTGACACATTATTGAGTATTTGTATTGCTGGCGGAAAAAAGTTGGGTTTTAGCTACTTTGTGTCTCTGTTCATTAAGCTGGCATTCACGTGCGAGACATCACTAACTGAACACATGTTCACTTCCTTTGTATCAGCTGTGTTCAGGTTATGTTACACATTTTTATCCACTGACTGAAAACAGAAACTACAGCCGGGTGTTAGAACCTAATAAAAGATCTCCAGGTGTTAAGCTTGATTTATATTTCTGCGTTGATTCTACACCATAGCCTGATGTGTGCCTCCAGGAATGTAACTACACACTGTGGTGATGTAGGCCTCTACAACTGTTATATGCTGGGTTTACTGTGAACTTTTTGTTTCTGTGAAACAAAAATGTAATATGTAACAGGCTGTAATTGTATGTAATAGCCAATAATGTGCCAACGTAGCCTTTGTTTTCATAGAGCTAGGTGTAGAAACTCAGTTGGTTCCAACAGCTTCCTTTATTTCTACAGTAATTTTGGTAAAGGTAACTGATGTTAAACATTTATTAGCTCCAACTCTAACATTATCTGGTTCAGCCGCCATTGTTGGACATGTGCAAATAAACTCAACACAGTGACATAGAAACCCCACTACTCGTCTGGCTCACCAGATGTAAATTTGCCTGCCATTTCTGTCACGCACTTCACATGGCTTTCTCATTTCTTTTTGCTATCTGTCAATTTTCAAAATCCCCTCTGCTACGGGTAACAACCACCACCTCTGAGCAGCAGACTACATGCTGCAAATGGCACATTTTTGCTGATGATTTAGATCTTGCAACAAGGCAAAGATGCTTGGTTCCTTCATGACAGTGCTCACCTCCCTGCGTGCAAACTAAACTGACACCCCCCCCGTCACTATTTTACAGGAGCATGACTGCTGCATCCTGGGCTTAGCACAACTCAAGACAATTGTGATTATTTCATAGAAACACAAACAAGCCAGAGCTTCTTTTTTTTTTTTTACCCCAATAACAAAATGCCAATGAGGTGCAGCCCGACGATTCTCCATGGCGTCATGTCAGCACTACCCCACTGCTAACTAGTTTTGGCGGTGTAATTGCAGAGTAGTACAAACACAACAGCGCACATCGTAGACTACAACGTAGCCTCTGCAGAAAGTCAACCCAGGATTATAAATCAAGCTTTACAGTATCTTCAGTGTTAATTTAAGGGTGCCAGGCGAGTGGAGAGTGCGACATGTCAGTCTTTCCCCACCCTGTTTTTTGTTTTTTTTTCCCGTGTCACTCTTGAGCTACCAGGGAGAGAAAACGCAGAGGGAATCAAATACCAGGAGGCAACCCAGTCTAAATCTCACATTTGACGTTACATTAATATATCTGACTGAGCAGATTTAACTCACATGAGTAGAAAGCTCCAATAACTACCACTCGCGCAAATGTACATATACAGACACACAAAAACACACATACCGTATGGACTCAACCAGCACACCTCCTGCAGCTGACACACAGGCCACTAGTGAGGTCAGATAACAATTCAATGCCCACTCCAGCATGCATCTCTTATCTAATGGGCACACGGTTGCTTCCCTATTACTTTCACCTTATTGTTGGGTCTAATGCTGACCCATAACAAAAAATAACGTTTCTCCCTTACTGGCATATTTTCAGACAGGCTGGTCAGAAATCTGGCTCTATTATTTCTGATCCGTTTGTGTAAGCAAAAGAAAATGTGAAATCCTAATGGACACACGAGTTAAGGATGAAATGGAAGAACACATTCAAGTGTCATTTGGTAAATAAGAAAACAAAGGTGGAAAATGGGCTGACAGGCCATTCATCCTGGTTCACAGAACAGCGACGCTAAAATCATTTTCCTCTGCAGACCACGATACGTGTTTTATGTTGAGTCTGTTTAAACCAGTACACGTATTTAGATGTGACACCTGAAAAACTGAGGCCCTGAGCACCCAAGATGACATATGTAAAGAACGTTTGGGTGGGTATTAAGAAGTGGCAGCCAGCCAAGCCCTCACACTGCATTTGTAAAATTCAAACGAGTGAACCTGAATTTGCTGAAGACCAAACAATTCACTCACTCGCAGCGTCAAAGCAGGCTGGTTGGCCAGACTTGTCCACTTTGCAACATCAGCGGAGAGACGGGGAGGAACAAAAAAGGAGGAGGAACGGCAGACATCAGTGGAAATAGGCTCGATAACAGGCGTAAGCACTGAGAGCCAGCGCTGTGCACAGGCACACGTTGGTTAGTAGAGGGGACCAAGCCCCCGGCACAGGAGAGCCTTCCTTTTGCTGGTTCGCTGCCTCAGGCAACTCCAGCTCCTCCTCTTCATGCTGCTGCTGGGATTTGTTCGGAGCTTTGGAGGTAATATCTCGGATTCCCATGTGGTCATCGAGCTGATCAGCACTGTGGGGAGGAGGCTGGGGGGCGGTGATGTTCCTCTTTCGCAGGTCTAACTCTTGTGTGGACCTGAATGAGAAAACGATGTATGAAAGCAGAGTGGAGAAAAGCTTTAATGTCTCCTCGAGGCAGTTTGGTTTTTATTTGATAGGTACAGCAGATAGTAGATGATAGGATTTTTTTCTTGACATGCAGTAAGTAGCTGGATGGATCAGCTCTTCAAAGTTCTAACTTAGATTGTTAGGAATGAGTAAGTAAAGGTTTCTTTATGTATCACTTTTAATAACATCAAACACCAAAATAAATTTGACTAAAAGTTATGCTGCTGTATGTGATGCTACAGAGAATTGATGTTTACATGGATGATTGTTTTTGACTGAGTGGCACTACAAATTTTCAATTTACACACAGAAACTATAGTTTACACTAAAGTATTTTCTAGCAGACACTTTTAAGTTTAAAAAGTCAAGCCTCATTCAGCAGATCACTTTTTTGGTGGTGGTTTCCACTCCACCTCAGTTCAGCCCAGAAAAGAGAACATGGCACGTTTGTCAAACTGAGTCGACTGCTCTGCCCCGCATTTAAACAAAATACCAGCAGGGCTACTGACTAACCTTTTTACTGGTAGCACCGAGGTATCAAATGGGAAAGCTGGACGCACTTCCCACCTTGCCACAGGTGAAACGCATCACTTGCCGAATAGCTGCTTTTCGAAAGACACTACATTTACAGATGTTCCCTAAACACCTCACAGTGCAGGCTGCGGTAGATGCGACGTGGCTACAGTTTGCTCAGACAGATGTGTGACCAAATATTACTTTAAAAAGAGCAAAATAGGGCGTTTTAATGTCAAATTTGTCCAAAATGAAACTGAGTGATTTTATGTCCATGTGCTGTTTTCTTTTAACAGATAAAATTTAAAAAAACAACAACACATGTAGGCAGGGAAAGACTGACAAGGCCATGGAAGTCATAAAATACGTACTTTCCCCGCTGTGGCTAACGCAGTAGTGACCTGCACCAGTTAGAGCGACAACAAAACAGCTTAATGATCATCATGCACTCGCACCAATGCAACCACTTGAAATTTTAACTTGCACCATAGGATACAAACTAGAAAACAACTACATCTACGTATTCATAATGGTTGCAGAAGGCTAAAGCTGATCCCAGCTGACACTGAGTAAGAAGCAGGGTACATCCCGGGCAGGTCACTAGTCAGTTACAGGACTAACATTTAGACATGTACAGAGTCACACCACATTTAAAGGTGAGTTGAGAGGAAACCAGAGTAGCTGAAAAAACAATGCTAACTCCTTCACCACCATGTCCCCAAATAGATCACATTTTATTTTACATGGCTGAAGCCACACAGAAAAGGTTCTGCAGTGTCTCTGCCAAGAACTTGATTTTCACCAGAGGTACTGTACATATGGTGCTTTTAGATGCTACATTATGACATAGCATGACTGAGCATTTCCACCTTGAAACTGCGGTGTACTGAAGACATTGTCAAAAACCAGCATTCCAACTTCTGTGGTTTCATAGCTAATAAACCTTAGGAACCAATTCCGGTAGCTTGCAGGGTGGGGTTTCCTGTATCATTACTCTTCTCAGAACTGTTTTCCGGTTCCCACATGTATAGATGATTTCCTCCAATATTAGCAAAACTTGCTATTGTGCAGTGAAGTGTAGTTGTAAAGTGTTTGAGTAGTTGTGAGGTGTGTGCGGACAAAGAGGCCCAGACTTCATAGATCTGCACATTCTAGAAGAAGTAACAATGTAGATTTACATCTAAGTCACTGCAAAGCAGGAGGGATTATTTTCATTGAAAAACTTCTAAACATGTAACTCTGACATACAGAAATTAGTTTTTAGTGTTGTAATCAATGACCGAAGGGGAATTCTAAAGCTGTGAAAAGATGAGATTATTGAGATGAGCCGTTGAAGGTGACATCATATGTCACCTGCACTCTATTTAATTGCGTGTTCCTCCCCATTCTGCTGCATAACAAGAGACAGCAACACATGCTAGAACAAAAGCTAACAGAGGTTTTACAAATAACTGGTGCAACTTAATCCTGTTCTTTTTTCACAGTTTGAGCTGACAGTGTTAGATAAATTCAAACTAAACATGACATGGATGATTACCCCAGACTGTGGGTCTTCATCTGTCGGATGAGTTCATCATTTTCAGGGAAAAACGACAGCTCAAGTTTGCCGTTGTGAGGGTCTCTGGGAGGAGGAAGAGGAGGAGGAGGAGGAGGGGTAAACTCTGGAGGGTCATCTTCCTCGTTTGAGAGTTCTTTCCATGACTCCTTTAGAAAAAAAAACAAAACAAAAAAACCTTTGAGTTTAAGCAAATATACTTGATATTAGCTTTGCAACATATATGCTTTTATTTCTAATTGCACATATAGCAAACTTGTGCACATGCAGTTTCTTATTCTGAAAAGACAATGTATCAAGTGAGACTTTTATGAGAAGAGCAAAGAGCAGAAAAGGAGGGACTTACCTGCAGAGATGTATCCCCCTTGATGTACTTGGCACCTTCAATGACAGCAAGGTAGGAGAAGCGAAGCTGATCTGCAGTCTGAATCAAGCCCATTCGGTAGCGTCGCATCTCCAGCAGGACATCTCGAATACGCACTGAAGACGGGTCTTTACGGAGGGACATCTGCATATAACATTACAAATATTCAGTACAGACGCCTTTAAGTTTTAGGTTTTTGCTTCTGATAGATGTGCAAAAGAAGTTTCGACCTCAGACCACTTACACTCCTCATAATTAGTTCTTTGTAATATTGATCGATCACAATGTAAATGTGACAAGCGATGAACGCTGTTAATGGCATGATTTCTTAAATAGCAGAGATCTGTACAAACCAACAAGAGGCAGGTGTCCACAAGACAAAATGTCCCAGAGCGTCCGATTCCAGCACTGCAGTGCACCACCACTGGTCCCTGATCCGAATTCAGACAACCCGACTCTCGCACCTTAAACAGAAAGTTAAGGAAGGAGGCAGGAGACTCTGGTACCCCAAAGTCGGGCCAGGTGGTGTAGTGAAAATGTAAAATCTCCCGAGTCTCTTGAGTCTGCAGAGGAAGATTGGAGAGAACACAAATGCCAACATGCGACAGGAATTAAAGGACCAGGACAGAAAAGCACTCAGTATTCTGCTCTGTCTACTTTTACAAACAAATTCAAGAGGGAGACAACTTACAGACAGATTTTCCAACTCCAGCTGGCGGACTGTGTAGTAAGATTTGATGTCCTCTGAGACAAAGGTAAGCTTGAAATTGGTATCTTGAAAGATGGCATCTTTCTCCTCTCTGTGTGGCCAATACTGGGCACATTTAATCTAAAACCAAATAAAGGTGCACATTACACACAGTGTAACAGAAAGAGAATAGCAGTGCTATTTCCTGGTTAAACAAGGCATGCTGACAATCATACAATAAGAACAAAGTGCTGCTTACAGATCCTTTCTCTATGACTCGGTTGAGCATCACGACACCGCGGGTCCTCTGCTCCCATACCATCTCCCAGAAATGGCCACATGTATTTGGAAGGGGTCCCTGAAACAGAATGACAGTGAAGTTGTTTTAAAAGCACTGGATTTTATTCTTAGTATTACAGAACATTACAAATAGCACATCGATTTAAAGATTTTGTCGGTTGAAATTGTTGAAAGAAAAAAAAAAAAACACTTCAGAGGACAAACATGTATTGAGTCTTCAGTCTGCCATCTTTATATTGTACCTCAAACGTTACCCTTAAAGGACACTGAAGTACTTTATTATTTTGTGCATGTTTTTTGGGGACTACAAATAAATGTATTCTATACTGTAACATATACTATATTTATATAGTACTAAATACTATGTTTCTCCTAAAAAGAGTGTGGAAAAGCTCATCAGCCAAAAATGAGAAAGAGCACAGTGCTGTTTGTTGGAAATATGTAAATACAACATTATTTATAAGCAGTACAAAGTAACACATTGTCATGTAGTTGTACACCGGTGAGCCAAAACACTATGACCACCTGCTGAGGAATGAACTCTACAAGACCTCTGGAGGTGTCCTGTGGTGTCTGGTACTAAGATGTTGGCAGCAGAATCTTTAAGTTCGATGGATGAAGACTTGCTTGAGAGCACAAGCACGCCCTCCACCCTGTTACCAGTTCATTAGACTGAGTCACCAGATGTAGACTGCAGGTACAAGTTTGGCATTTCCACTGCATAGTTTACATGGCTTTCTCCTCCCCTTTTGTTACCGTTTTCAAAATCCCCATTGCTCTGGGAAAAAAACAACAACAACCTTTGAGCAGCAACCTAAATGCTAAAAATGGTATGGTATGTATGTTTTGATGAAGAAGGTGGGCCTGTCTGGTTCTTCTGATGAAATAAACATTTTGATAAAAACAACCTCCACCCAGTGCTTTTTCTGCAGGAACACTGGCGCTGAATCCAATCATGATTCTGACTGCTTTAGAGAAATACAAACAAACTAGAGTGTTTTTTCCCCCTACAGCAAAACAATAGTGCACTGATAGAGCCGTGGAGACCGGTCTGGCAATGTGAGACTAACAGTTTATAGTTTGACTCACTCCATGTTGGTAGGTGCTCACTGAGAGTACCCCACAGGCCTTAGAGATGCTCAGACCCATTCCCTTGGCAATGACAGCTTTTCCCATATTACCTACATCAAACATTTGGACTACAAGAACTGGCAATTTCTTACTATCTAATAAAGCTGTTACAATCGCAGATGTTACAAGGTAATCAAAGTTAGTTGCTTCTTCTGTTAGTCATGATTTTTTGCCTTATTGGTGCAAGCAAATGCTTTAAGTGCTTATTAATGCACAGCATCTGTCAGACACAACATGAAGCGTCTCCTGGGAAAACATGTTTTACAACTGCATTTTACAATATTGCCATGCGTTATCCGTTTATACACCAGCCGACATTTATCAGTGTACACAGAAGGAGTTAAAGTTACTGGCAGATACTTCAAAAACATCTGCTTATAACTGCACTATGCATACCACATTTATAACAATGAGCGTAAGATAGAAACACCCTTCAGTGTGATGCACATCAGTTCAACAACATCAAAAACTGCATCCTCTAAAATTATAAAGTTGAATTAAAACTTGTGCTAAACAGTGTCATTCAACACTGAGCATTACAACCTTCATCAAGGGATGTGGTGGTATTGTATTAGACTGCAGTATTTTTAGCTAGATGTACCTAAGAAACTCATAACTGAGTGCTTATAAATGCTGCAGACTGGGATTTAAAGCAAGATATTCTTTTATAAACTAATATAAGGTATCACATCCACTTTGTAAGATCTCGACACAGGGCACAAAATTTTACTGTCAGTAGGATTAAAGCATTTTTGTTGAGAAAAACACTTAAAACTATAGCTGTAAATAATTGCAAATATTGTCCAATATACAAACAAGTTTTTTTTAAAAGGACTCTCTGTTTCCAGAAGAGTGTACTGAATCTTCTCCATGCTTACCTGAGTAAGGATATAATTCCTCTGCGCCTCTTCTGCTGTTATTAGGCTGGCATTAATGTAGTCATTCGTACCCAGCTGTAGACATATTCTGCTGTGGTCAACTGAGGAGTGGGGGGGAAAAAAAAGAATCATGAAAAGTGTTGTTATTTAAATATCCCACAACCCCAAGGGACCAACGCAGCTGCCGAGAACATGTGACAAATGTCTTTGAACAAACTTAAGATTCTTGTGTTTGACTTTACTCGATACCCAGTGAAATAACCTTTTAGCGGCAAAGTAAACAGCATGAGCAAGTTTCAAGTTCCTGATTTTCACATCTTGTTTAAAGTGGATAAGAAACAGGCTTTGTGGTATATACGGTAACTATCTGCAGCCCGGTCTGCACAATTTGCATTGCTGATTCAGTGTGAAAAAGAGGAAACCACGTACTTCAGCTGTTGGACTGTGACGTTTTGTCAGAAACATTCATTTAAAAAATAGCACATCACACATATCGACATGTACACTGTAAAGCAGACATTTAATGTGGGATGTGATGAAGATGAGAAAATAAGAAGATTTGATGTTTTCATAGACCAACTTAACTTTATAGTGTTTTACACTCATTTGATTTTGTTGTTGGTTTACAGTTGTTTAGACTAATTTTTGGAATTCATTTACCTCTATTTTTATTGCAATGTTACAATCTACTAAAGCTTATTTTTTGATAGTGTCCAATTGTGTCGGGGCTACAGGTAACAATTAGCTGTCCAGCTAACCCCAGCACATTTACATTGATGGTAAATGTCCCCTGTCAATAAAATACATCTTCACCACAAAACTCTAAACTAATTTTGTGGTTAAAAATGTCAAATAAGCCTGACAGCACAAAATGCACAAAACTGTTTTGGATAATAATTATTACAGGATAATGCCAGCCTGATCTTCAGTACGCCTCATGTAGCATTAGCACAGCTACCATGGCATTAAATTAGCTGGAATTTTTTTGTCAGTCCATTCACAGCAATCCAACACTATGTTTATTCTGCAACATTACTTTTGCGATTTCAAATGATTATTACAGTGCTTGTACCTGAAGTCAAGCTGCAGTCAACTGATGTTGACTGTTTGTAAGATACTCATCTGTGAAAGACTCGACCAAGGTGATGTGATGGTGACTTTACAGAACTCAGGTGGTGTTTGAATATAAATATGAGATTACAGACCCAACAACACTGTGGGTGGAGCAGCATGCAAAGAGGCCCATGCTATCATGACATTTATGAAGTATTCTCTGTTCTTTTGGTCCGGTGCACTGAGGCGGACAAAATGCAACTTACATGGGCTGACATCTCTGTATCGATTCCGAGTCTTGTTTTCGGGTAATTTGGCAAGCTTGCATGGGAGTTCACATGACAGCTGACGAATCTCCTGTGACAGAATAAAGAAAGTTGCATTAGCATATTCATATTGCATTCACATCACATCTCTGTGGCTAATGTATTTAAAAGTTTAAAACTGAATGTCAGCAATAAAATCCTGAAAGTGAGGGGTTTTTTCTCTATACATATTCAATTTTGCAGAAAACTGGAATCTGTCAAGTTCCCATAAGGTAGATATGTTCCCCAAAAGTGGCTTTTGTGTGGGTGGATGTGACTGTTACACTAGATAGATAGATAGATAGATAGATAGATAGATAGATAGATAGATAGATAGATAGATAGATAGATGTGTGTGGACCCAGAACAATTGCACAGTTCACTGGGGGCCCTTGATGGATTATTGCACAAAAATAAAAATAAAAAATAGCTGATTAACAGTGAGGTTAGTGGTTAGTTAGTTCATGAGTATTTGGTGCAAGAAGATTAGATTTTTAAAATCCTTTAAAATAAGTTATACGAGGGACATTTGTGCAATAAATAGGGACATAAAATGTAGAATTAGTACCCGACAGACAGCATACAACTGCTCTGAGATGGGATGTAGCTGGTTTGAGACCCAGGCAGGAAGAACACGGACTAAACTAAACACGAACCAGCCTGGTAGCTCTGACTCATTGTGCTTTAGCTTCTATTTGGCCTAAAGCTTCACCCTCAGTCCACTTCCACCTTGATTTGCCGAGAGATCCTACCTGATAAATGGCGCTCCAACTCCCGTTTTCATCGATTTCCCGAAACTCGGCTTCCATTGCTGACAGTCCAGCTGCCACTCCTTCTTCTTCTTCGTCTTCTTCTTCTTCCCCCCAAATGTGGACGGCCGTATCTCCCCGGTGTTTTAACCAGTTCTAGTGAAACAGTTCCCAGTAATAGCCGCCAACTGCTCCGCCGCTGTTCTGTAATTCTCAGTACGGCTGCATAGATTACGGTCTCGGCCTGCTCTTAGCGGAAACACGCCGCTAGCTCCTCCTACACGGTGTAGCTGCCGTCCTTGGGTGCCTAAAAAAAAAAAGGCAGAATGTTTTCAAAGAGACGACATTCCACCGCAGGTTTTCTGTGAGAAAAGCTGGATTTTTACAAGTCTTCGGCAGCTCCGAATAACTTTGTTGGCGTGAAACAGTCACTTTACCATTCCTCCGGCAGCAGTGCAGGGCGACCAGCGAGGACGCGCGGAAGGCATCTTGTTTCTGGAACGTAACGGCTCGGCAGGGGAGCGCGCACGCACATGCACGTAATGGGTCTATTTACGTCCAATCTGTGGAGTCGCTGCTGTGACCTGCTGCAGTTTAGTCAACGAAATATTGTAGCTGGATAAAAATCGTATCGGGGGATAATATGACGCCAGTTTGACATTTCAGACTCATACGTCCTCACGGAGGCCGCGCACAGTGTGACCTAGCAGAGGTCATCATGGATTAGCAGTAGTTGAATGGCTTTCTTCAGACAGTGTGACTGACAGCAAGAACTGGGACAAGGGACTTTGGTGCTAGTAACGTTAGCTAGCGAGGCAACTTAGCTAGACGTTTTGAATCAGCTTTACCGCTGCGACAGGTATTATGCAAATTCTTGGCAAGTTCTTCTGTGTGTGTCGCTTCATGTGTTGTCTCCCTCTGGCCGTCAGCTCACTTTATATAGCTGTGTTTTCCTAGTTGTTGTCTGGCGTTGGCGTTAGCCGTCAGCTGTCGTTGGCTGCTGCTGCTGCTAGCTAATGTGTAGCTATAGTTATTGCCTCCCAGTGGTGGAAAAAGTATTCAGATCTTTTAACGGTAAGTTGCATTAGCAATGTCACAGTGCAAAAATACCATATTAAAAGTACAAAGTATTTTACACATTACAACATGAATTACTAATTTGAATATACCTGCAAGAAGTACCTAGTTATTATTGTGATTATTAGTGATTCTAATGTGGGATATTTTACCCTCCTCACCACAGTAATATAAAATGAAATACGCTAGTTACAGTATAATGTTTAGCATTTTCTTCTAAAATGCAGTAAGTTATTGCTAATTGGACGTACTCAAGTTAAGAACCAGCACCTCTGAACTGAACTGAAGCACTGTGTTGCCATATACTTTCTATGTTTGTTTCTCTGTTTCCTGATCTATCACACAATTGTTGGAAATATGCATTTTATCATATTTCTCATTATGTAACCCATACACATTACTAATGTTTGCAACTGTCATTTATTTTTCACAGTCAGTCTATCAATTATTTACCTGATTACTTGTTTGGTTTATTAAAAATGTAAGAAAATTAGGAAAATTATAGGTCAGTTTTCCCACATCCTGAGATGATGTCCTTAAATTGTTTATTTTATCCTCAACTCAAAGATATTGACTTTATTGTCATAGAGAACTGTTTTGTTTATAAAAATAATGACTTTGCTGTTATAATTTCCCACAGACCAATGTGACATCAGATGTCATCTTTTACAGACCAACAGTCCAAATGTCACAGTTTATTATGATGTGTGATAAATGGATGTTAAAATCTGATATGACATCCTAGAAATGGCACATATTTGATGTCTTTGCTTTAAAATAACCTGTATGCCTACTAAATTATTAAAATAGTTTTCAATTAATTTTTAGTGAACTTACTAACTAATTGTTGCTGCTGTAATACAATGTTTTCACACACATTCTTGCTTCATATTTCTGTACAACTTGTTTGCCAGGTGTGTAACAATATCAATGGTGTGACAGGTTAGGATTTTCTCAACAGAGGTTGTCTGTTTATTTTAGATTCCTTGAGCAGTTTGAGGTCCTTGAGAGACTCTCAGGGCAGCATGGCTCCCAAAGACATCATGACCAATTCCCATGCCAAATCCATCCTCAATGCTATGAATTCACTTCGCAAGAGCAACACACTCTGCGACATCACTCTGAGGGTGGAGAACACAGATTTTCCAGCTCACCGGATTGTCTTGGCTGCCTGCAGTGACTACTTTTGTGCCATGTTCACCAGTGAGGTACACATTTTTACGTAATGCTTACAAAGAAAGATATTGAACCCTAAAAAATATGTTACATACAGAATATATGTCTTGGAAGATTTAGTAGAATAAGGGTGTTTATTCTCCAGAAAAACACATGACTTAAATATCAAATGTATTGTCTGTTTTCTTGTGCTTTCTGGGACTCTTCAATCAGTGTTAGACTTTACTAAACTGCAGAATAACACTGTATGCTCACAAGTAATCCCTCAATTATATGTTTCTCTTGTTGTGGCCCTGCAGCTTGCAGAAAAGGGGAAATCTTTTGTCGACATTCAGGGGCTCACTGCATCAACTATGGAGATCTTGTTGGACTTTGTCTATACAGAGACCGTGCTTGTCACAGTGGAGAATGTACAAGAGCTGCTTCCTGCAGCCTGTTTGCTGCAGCTTAAAGGTAGGTTTAGGGATGCCTGCTGTACCTTGACTTCCTAAGTGTGCACTTAAGCATCTGGTTTCATTGTGAGTGTAGGCACAGGAGGTCTGCAGGTCTTAAAAAATCTTGAAAAGCAATTTATTTAAGTTTCATTTAAAAAGCACTTAAATCAAGGCTCCAGACTGCGATCAACATGGAACCCAAATGCAAGTTAAAATTTCAAGTGGTCGCATTTATGCGAGTGCATGATGATCATGAAGCTGTATTAGTGTTGCCGTAACTGGCACAGGAAGCTGCTGTGTGGACCACAGTGGTGGAAGGTAGAACTTTTATAACTTTGGCGTATTGTGCTATTTACGCTTAAAAATTAGTTCTTCTTGTGAAAAATGAAGAGCACCTGCATTTGCTGTTTTTCCTGCTCATAGAAAAGGGCACATGTGTATAAAAAAAAAAGAAAGAAAGAAAAAAATCACTCAGTTTCATTTTGGACCAATTTGACATTAGAACACCCTAGTTAACTCTTTTTAAAGTCATTGTTGGTCACACCTGTCTGAGCACACCAACAACATCTACCACAGCCCGCAATGTGGGGCATTTAGGGAACACTGGTAAATTGTAAAGTCTATCGATTAGAAAATGTTCAGGAAGTGAGATGTTTTGCCTGTGACAAGGTGGGAGGTGCGACCAAATGAGAAATCGGTCACACCGGTTCAACCAGTGAAAAAGTTAGTCTGGAGCCATGACTTAAATGTTTGTTCTTGCCTGTTGAAGGCAGTAATGTTGTTATTGTGCAATGGTTATGTGTCCAGTTAAGAACAGTTTGGAGACATTATACACATATAAACCACAAGTGGGATTGCTGTTATTGTAAATTGTAGAGTTTCAGTCACTACTGCTGGCTTCAGTGGCTAGAAAGCTCATCCATTTATAATGTTAACAATTGATATGAGCGAAAACTGAAATTAATCGTTGTGCCTTTTTTTGTATTATGTGCACATTGTACAAGTCTCGGTCATCCCCCTAATTGAACATATTGTACCATCAGCAAAGTATTGCGAGGAAGTTTTTAAGAGCTACCTTTGTGTTCCTTTGCAGTGTGCTTTACATTTCCTCTGATCCACATGAATAGTTAGTGTGTTGGTCCAGTTGTAATACACTGCCAGATTCAGGAAACACTCTGCAAATAAGGAAGGAGAAATGATGTGACATTGCTCATCTGTCATTTTAAAAGGACAGTATCCAGCTGCTGGCTGTGAGCACAGATGCAGCTGTTCTGTCTGGCTGTGATGGTGAAGCTGAGGCTGAATATGGTTAATGTTTGGACTTTGGTTCCTGCTGTGGTTCAGTCTGTGGTGTAATGGATATGTCCAACTGCTACTACGTCAACCTGCAGTGCTTCTAAGACAGATGTGTTACCAACACACAACAGGAGTTGAGGAACACAGTAACATCTAGACAACACTAGCAAAACCATCACTGCACCGAGACTACCGCTGCATTTATAGTCTAACATCCGTTAAAGACGAACATGTCACAGCCATAACTGTTAGAAGCAAAGCAGAGCCATGGCTACTGTCACAGTCACAGTGACAGCTGTGTCATCTGAAGGCTGCAGTCATAATCACAGATACAGGCTGTCTTGGCAGTGGTCAGAGATAGAGCCAGTGAACCAGCTCCTTCAGTTTTTCTTCAAAATGCAATGATGCACACTTGTATCTGAGCAGCCACAGCTGAGGCTGTGTTGACTCTCTCTGTAGTCACAGCCAGCAGGGGTCTACTGCATATTACATGATACTATATCATTCTACAGTTCAGTCTTTTTCTGTGGGTTAGAGGAAATGCAGACATTATACGATAATACAAATATAGTCCTTAAAAAGTTTGCATGAAGTTACAGGGGCTCAGTATTTAATTGACTACTTTGAAAGTTTCCAAATTAAGCATTGATTAGTGACTTCGATTTTGTGTTTATCAAGTTTGGCTGAATTTGAATCCTAGCTGTGTGTATATACAAACGTGTCTTTGTTTTCCTTAGGGGTGAAAAGAGCGTGTTGCGATTTTTTGGAGAGTCAGCTCGATCCCTCCAACTGTCTGGGTATTCGTGACTTTGCCGAAACTCACAACTGCCTTGACCTGATGCAGGCCGCCGAGCTCTTTTCCCAGAAGCATTTCTCCGAGGTGGTTCAGCATGAGGAGTTCATGCTGCTGAGCCAGACGGAAGTTGAAAAACTAATAAAATGTGATGAAATCCAGGTAGGAACACTAGATTTCTAGAGTTTTTCAACATACATACTGTATGTTCAGCAACAAAAGATCAGGCAGCATGTTCTTTTGTTTCGGAATATTATGGATACATAATTTTGCTATTTGAAGCACCGGAAAGCTGTCTGTTAAAATGAGATTGTTAGCCCTATAACGGACTTATGTATGAACACCTGTGCTAACCGAAACAAGTACAATTTATGTTAAGATGCCTGAAAATTGGCTTTGATTGAAAAGTGTGAACTGAGCTTGACTTTCACAGCTCCCATGTTGTCAAACATCTGAGCGCGAAAAGAGAAATTCAAGCACCAACCTGTCGTGATCTCAGTTGGTGCCCCCACCCCTCAGTTTTGCGGATTGGCCTGACAATGAAATTGCAGAGAAGTAAAACTGATTTAAGTTAGCCTTTGTTCTCAGGAAATTCCTGTTTCCCAACCACATGCCTTGCTTTGTGAAAACACAGTTATTATCACTCGATGATTTATAGATGAGCAATTCTGTCAAATTCTTCTTCCTGTCATTTTTGTTGTTTTTAAAATATAACTAGACCATACATGAACATTGCGGTCACGCTTAATTTGCCTACAGTTAAAGTATTCTCTGTCATCCCTGAGGATGTTACAGTGAGAGTTTGTGGCTTGTTTTACCTTTTACGAGGCTTCACTGTTTTGCTGTTGTGCATTGTGTCTTTGCAGTTACAGAAACAGAAGCAGCAGAAACTAATGTGTGGACATTTACTGTGATTGCTGTAATTCTTCCTTTTACTGTATATGTTGTCTGCATGTAGGTGGACTCTGAGGAACCTGTATTTGAAGCCGTGCTAAACTGGGTCAAACACAACCGAAAAGAGCGAGAGCCGTACTTGCCAGACATGCTCGAGTTTGTTCGAATGCCTCTTCTTACTCCCCGGTACATTACAGATGTCATTGATGCTGAGGTGAGCCAGACGACACACAACAGTTTGTTGTGTAATCATACGCAAAGCATGGAATGAAGGATTGTCTGTTGAAGTTTTCATCTCACTATAATTAAGCAAGTTTTTACATGTTTTAGCCTCTCATTCGGTGTAGCCTGCCATGTCGAGACCTCGTTGATGAGGCCAAGAAATTCCACTTAAGACCTGAGCTGAGAAGTGAGATGCAGGGGCCGCGCACACAAGCCAGATTAGGTAGGAATCCGGTTTTCACCTGCAATTTAGCTAAATGCATGTCTCTTAAAGCAGCTTTGTAATCCACCTGGTTTTCTTGTTAGGTGCCAAAGAAGTCCTACTGGTAATAGGTGGGTTTGGCAGCCAGCAGTCACCAATAGACATAGTTGAGAAATATGATCCTAAAACACAAGAATGGAGCTTTTTACCTGTGAGTATTGAATATTTTAAAGAGAGTCTTGTGGTGTTTTTTCTCTCAGTGGTTTGGCTGATACAGACACGTGTGTCTTGAACAGAATATCGCACGGAAAAGGCGTTATGTGGCCACGGTTTCTCTCCACGATCGAGTTTACGTGATTGGAGGCTACGACGGCCGGTCGAGGCTCAGCTCTGTGGAGTGCCTGGACTACACTGCGGACGAGGACGGTGTTTGGTACACCGTCGCCACCATGAATGTGCGTCGTGGCCTTGCTGGAGCCACAACACTCGGAGGTGTTTATGCCAAATGACTCACCTTTTCACCAGCATTCCCGTTCTGTGAAATCCCCTGTGACTTTTCTTGTTTCTCATAGATGATAAGTTGTGGTGTTATTTTTCTCTTGACAGACATGATCTATGTTGCCGGTGGCTTCGATGGCAGCCGACGTCATACCAGTATGGAGCGATATGATCCCAACATCGACCAGTGGAGCATGCTGGGAGACATGCAGACAGCTAGAGAAGGAGCTGGTCTGGTGGTGGCCAGTGGACTCATATACTGTCTAGGTATGAAGAAAAAAATTTGGACAATATTTGGTGACACAGACGCACATATGACTGCTACAACTGATCTATGATTAATTGCCAACTGTCAACTGATTGTTTACAGTACTGGCCTAAATATAACTCTAATCAAAAAATGAGCCCTCCCCCTTTATGTTACAAAGGTGAAACAAAATAATGCCATTGAAAACATAATGTCAATCACCCTTTGGTGTAGCCCTGTAAAGGATCTTCTCCAGCACTTAGCATGTTTCAGACTTTGTCTTTTGACGCTTCTCCTCATCTGTGTTCATATTAATTCTTGGCTGCCTGACAGATGAGTCAGTCCACAGTCCATTTCTGCAGTGAAGATGTTAAGACACATTTTGGACTCTCCTTTTCAGTTGTCATGAATGTGTACAGGTTGCCCTCAAATACCTCTGCAGTTTAAACTAAGCTACCAAAATATTTTGACAGCAGACTGACTCTGAAAGACACACATTCTAAAATACAAGACGACCACCATGTTTTTTAACATAATTTATGGAAAATAAAATGTTTCTGTGTTTTGGACAATACAGCTCTGCTTAATATTGAGAATATATAGTAAACTTGTTTAGGGCTGCAGCTAACGATCGTTTATACTATTGATTATTTTTTCCATTATTTTCTTTAGAGTCTGTCCAATACTAATTTCTTTGGGCCAATACCGATGTTAGGGAGAAAGAAATTCTGATATCAACGTAACAGCTGATATCGTACATGTTATATTGAAAACATAACTCTCCAAATTATATCCAATTTATTCCCACATGACATAAAACAAAGCAAAAAAATCCTAAGAAACAAGAAGTCAGAAGTAGGAAATGCTTGATATTTTTGCTTAAAAGACAACTTTAAAGTAAAAAAAAAAATTGCCAGTAGACTAGTTAGTCAGTGAGCCACTCGAGCTCTAAATTTTCCCCTGATCTTCCCTCATAGGTGGATACGATGGTCTAAATATCTTGAATTCAGTGGAGCGGTATGACCCTCACACAGGCCACTGGACCAGTGTCACGCCCATGGCCACCAAGCGGTCAGGTAGGTAAGAACACAGGTGGAGCAGAGTATCGCAGCGACCTGTGTGTGTTACTGTTTGTGTGACGCCTTAATGCCTTTGCAGGGGCTGGTGTGGCTCTGCTCAACGACCACATTTACGTTGTGGGAGGTTTTGATGGCGTTTCACACCTTGACTCCGTTGAGGTCTACAACATCAGAACAGACTATTGGACCACTGTAGCCAGTATGACGACTCCTCGATGCTACGTAGGAGCAACCGTTCTCCGAGGACGACTTTACGCCATCGCCGGGTGAGAACGTGTGTCCTTCTTTCTGTAGCAGTGGGTTTAAACAGTGTTGTGCAGTATGTATGTTGAGAAACGCTGAGGGTTGTTGCAATCAGTTCAACCTAAGGGATGGGCGATACAGCTTAAAAATTCTTCCTGATAAAAAAAATCATTTCAGGTGATATCAACAATTATTGATCATTTCTAATAATTTTTGAAAAAAATTATTTATTTATTTTTAAAAAATGCCCAGAAATAAAGGTTTAGTTTGAATTTACCCATCTTACTTTGAACATAACCACTTTATCTAAAGGTAAACAGGTAATAATTTTAATGTGAATAAAACTATTTAAAAAAACATACATGAATAAATAAACTTTCACACGTAGATACAAATAAATAATGACAAGGGACTGACCTCACCTTGATACACATTAAATTAAGAAAGCAACTAAAACCCAGAGGTGCATTCAGCATGAAGCCGTTGCACTGCGCTGAGGTTAACTTTCTAAGTGGCTGGTCTGAACCAGCTGTCACTGGATGGAGACTCCACACCAGCTTCTGAGCAGGCTGCCAAGAGAACATCGCTTAGGTGGAGCGTCTCAGGGCTGTGGATGCTTTTTGACCACAAAGACCGTCTCACAAGGGCAATCAGTGTTGTCCGCCAGCCTCAGCCACCACCAGTGGAGGTGTGCAGGTGTAGACAAGGGTGACGAGAGGCGCAGGCAGCCATGGACTAGTGCTCCTCAGAGAGCCTGCATGGAGGCCATGCAGTGCGAAGGAGCTCTGTTGTCAAAGTGTGACAGACTGTTATGAGCCAGAGAACAAACACACTTTGGGTTCATGCAACCAAACTTTGCATTTACATTATTTGCTTTCATGGTGGTTTGCATCATGGAAGAGAAACTGTCAAACATTCTATCAAACAGTTTTCTTACTGCTGTCGAAGTGTCTATCAGCAGTACGTACCACTATCATTCAGTCGCCCAGGTCTCCATCCTCTCCATAGTAACCATGAAGTGATACCTTCATAGAAATACTACCCCGTTAGAAGTTGGAGGCAAAAACACAGACTCTGACATGCTCAAACTCTGATAATAAAAGTCTGAGATAGCCATGTCATGTGAAGGTTTACTGTCCATGTTATGTCCCTGCACTAACAAGATACATCCCTTCACACTCTGTAGGGAAACACAAGTAGAGAATTTTGTTCCAAAATGCTTTGGCTGCTGAAGCTTGATATGAGCTCTGGCTGAACTTCTGAAAGCATTTTTTGCAGAGATTGTGGTGGATTTTATTCCTGATTTTACACAGTGCAGTCGGTGGGGGGTCTCCTTCCAACCAGTATTTAAAGAAGGAATGACTAAAATCGCTGCAAAGTGGCGCAGTTGGTTAGCACTGTTTCCTCGCAGCAAGAAGGTTGCCGGTTCGCATCCCGGTGGGGGCACCGGAGTCTTTCTGCGTGGAGTTTGCATGTTCTCCCTGTGCCTCTCCGGGTTCTCCGGCTTCCTCCCAAAAACATGCTGAGGTTAATTGGTGATTCTAAATTGTCCGTAGGTGTGAATGTGAGTGTGCTTGGTTGTCTGTCTCTAAGTGTGGCCCTGCGATGGACTGTCAACCTGTCCAGGGTGTCCCCTGCCTTCGCCCTAAGTCGGCTGGGATAGACTCCAGCCTCCCGCGACCCTAGTGAGGCTTAAGCGGTGTATAGATAATGGATGGATGATTATAATCACCAAAAACTCTGACTGAACAAAGGCAAGTAAGGATAGTATTACAGTAAGTTTTTAAAAGAGCCAGACCTGTCTCTACATGAAGGCTTGATTGATTAGATTTTATCTTGGCACACAAACATAAAAACCACCAATGAAATGTTTCAGTGTAGACACATACAGTAAGTTACAGTGTAAAACCAGCACATCCCATCTAGTAGACGTTCAGACCGACCTTAGGCCTGCATGAAACAAGCCCAGTCATTAGTTTGAATGACAGCTGTGGGGGTACAAACCCAGGAGCCTCCAGCCAAAACACACACACATTGTGCGGCATTTGTTGAGCTTTTGCTGCAGCGCAATGTGGAATCACATTACAAAGTATTCTAAACTGCTGTGCAGTATGTTGACATCTGAGCAGCCTTTAAACTCACAGATCTGTTACTTAAACAAGACTTCTTGGATTGTGTTTCTCACCAGTATGTGAAGCAACACGCCTCCACCAACGCAGACCCAGGGTTTTTCCTGCACAGAGAATTTTTTGGCGTTCCCACCAAAGAGACTGTAGCCAGCACCAAGAGAAAATTACCAGTGCCAAAATGGTGGAAATATAGAATAAAAATAGCATTTCCATTTTTAACCACTTTTGTTTATTGGGGTTTTATTTAGTCAATCAAAGTAAACAGTTTTTTGTCAAATGTGCTGAAATAACAATAAAATGCTTAGATTTATGTCGAATGAGGTAACACAGACTCATTGGCATTACTGTACGATCATGCTTGCTGCTCTGCCCATTTTGAGCCAGAAAACCCCCTGAGACCCTCTCACTGGTGTAACACAGGGCTATTGGCCTTTTTCTTTTTATTTATTCTTCCATTTTTTTGCAGTCTAATCACAATCTTCTACTTAAATCCCAATTTAAAGAACAATATTAATCAAATACAGTTCATTTTTACCCACATAACTGACAAAGCTTATCTTGATGAGCATCGCTAACATAACATCCAGTTTCCAGACACAGGCTTTGTGTCTTTAAGTGGTATAAATTCAGAGGTGAATGAGCTACAGAGAAAACTCAGGGTGATTTCAAGCATTCTGTGTCGGGTCATGCCTCAGTTTCATGATGTTAAGTGACCGAATTATATCTTTCCTTTCATTTTGTTATGAGACAAGTTATTGTGGTCATTGCCAGCAGAACAGGAGTCACTACAGTGTTTCTGCTAATGATTTGTTTCACACTCTGCTTGTTAAGATTTAGCTTATGTCTTCCAAGGACAAATACACAAAGACAGCTGTAGTGTGAGACACCACGAGTTTCAACACAATATTTGAATTCAGTTCAGTTAGAAGACCCCTTTCAAAAGAAATCTAGTTTTTCTACCTTGTTAACACGTCCTTATGGTGTTTTTTGTATGTGGAAGATACATTATGTGCAAAAAGATCAGTCAACACCAGGGCTGAGCATTTCTGCGGTTAAACTGCAGTGTACTGATGACATTCTCTAACACTTAATCATATGTAAATTGCATGCTGAGACTTTCTGTGTCATTATTCTTTGGTTTGAAGCTGTATGGCTGAATTACGCCAGGATCACTTTCCACTGTGTAGCGCAGAGTAGGTTCACAGTGCTTGAGCAGAGTTGTAGGTGAGCTGTTCTGCTCGGGATGCAGCGAGCGGCGGAGGGGTAGGTTGAGATTGAAGTGGGAACTTCATAGATCCGCACATTCTAGAGGAAGCAGCGGTGTAGATGTCAGTTCATGCTTTCCTCATGCCATCAAGGCTACGTGTGGTGTAAAGTTTGTGACGGTCCGTGCGGACGCCCCTGTGGATATCTGCGTGCATCCCAAAATGAATGCCTTGTTTGACTGTCCACACTGTGAACACACTCACTAAACATGTGTCAGTAAACTAAATGGTGCTCAAAACAAATGCTTGTTGCTTGTGATGGAGATTCTCCATCATTCATACTTAGTTGTACGAGGTGTGTCAGAAAAGTTCCAGGACTGGTGTCACAAAAAATATATTTCAAACCCAAACTACAAACTATGAGTTTTCCCCTCCAGACGATCAACCAGCACGTCTACAAAGAGATCCTGCAGCGTTTGCTTTGTTCAGTGCATGAGAAGAGGCGAGAGTTGTGGCAGGAAAAGTCGTGGCTGCTTCACCATGACAACGCACCTGCTCACAATGACCTGAGCATCAGACAGTTACTGGCTGAGAAGAACATCGCCGTGCAGGAGCAACCTCCCTACTCACCCCACCTGACTCTGTGTGATTGTTTCCTCTTCCCCAAGCTCAAGGGGGTCATCAAGGGGACCCGTTTTGAAGATTTGGATGACATCAAGATGGCTGTAATGACGGAACTGTAGAGGATCCTGGAAGAATCCTTCCAGGAGTGCATGGTGGCGTGACAGAGAGGGCTGAGAAAGTGTATTGGACTCCAGGGAGATTACGTCAAAGGGGAAAACTTGTAGTTTGTACTTTGTATTTGAAATCTATCTTTTGTGACACCAGTCCTGAAACTTTTCTGACACACCTCGTATAGTTGTACTGAAGTTGTCGCTGTAGGATTTTGAGGGTGCTTTGATTTAGAAATGCTTCCCATCTACATTGCTCTTACACAGTGAGAGGTTTCTAAATTCTCTAGAAATCTTGTTCTGTGTCCGCCCACTGTGCTTGGCACACCAAAAGAGCAGTCGCTGACATGCTGCTGCAGCACAATCTGTAATCCGTAAAAAGGGCAAAGTCACAGCCAACATCTCAGAAATATCCACAAGAGCCTGGTTAATTTTTCTGTGTTCGATATGAGGAGTAATGTGACCGTCTGCACAGCAGTTAGACACGTTCCCTACAGTATGTATATTGTAGTATGCAAAGAGCAAAGCGTGTGTGTCCATCATCCACATTCAAGTCAGCACTGGTGTGTGCATGAGGATGTGAAAACTAGGAATTTGGTTTGACTGCCAAGCCAAATTTCCCCCAAGTCCATGATCATCTGATACAGTTTATCTTTCCTCTGCTGATTATTTATCTTTGGGTTGTATAATATGACATTTAGGCTGGTGTGTACCTGTCACCCTTTTAAATATTAAATATTCAAGATTGGTGTCCAAGATGGCTATGGCTATTATTTTAGTGTTTTCTGCCATAAAGCAATGACGTCTTAGCCAAGATACATGTTTTTGGGTCCAATGGATTCAACATAAATAGTTTGACTAGTACTGGGTGTACAATTGCAGTGGTAACTAGCAGTCTGTCTACCAATAAGGTTATAAAATGCTGTAAAAATGGCAAAACTGACATAAATTCCAAGAAAGTATTTAGTACATTTTTATTTCCTGGACACAATAAAATCGACTCCAATAAATTTGATAAGAAGGAAGAATGCGACAACTCGTCATTTTCATCATCATTCTTGAAACAATCCTGTCCACCCTGACATGCACAAATTCCTAAACAGCAAGGTTTGCACTCTAGCAACCAAACTTCTATGAGTTGCAAGAGATCTCAACTGCATCCGACATCCGACAATGTTCTACTTGAGGAAAACACTGTATCAGAGCATTAGGGGTCCCATCCCTTGGCTGATGGCATAATTGGGATTTACATTTCAACCATTTTAAGGTAGCAAGGGATGTTTCATATAAGATACTTTTTTTAATATTTCATTCTTATACATAGAATTGAGGTTTTAGGGGTTTAACCAGTGACCAGAGTAGAATTTTAACTTCAGTTTAACTTGTAAAAACATCCTGTAGCAGGCGAATAACAGTGTTGTAATCTAACCTTCATTCAGCTGAGTTTACTGCTGTGATTCAAACTCTCGGTTCTTCTCTTACTCTAGATACGACGGGAACTCTCTTCTCAGCAGTATCGAATGTTACGACCCAGTTATCGACTCCTGGGAGGTCGTCACGTCGATGGCGACCCAGCGGTGTGATGCAGGCGTCTGTGTTCTCCGAGAAAAGTGATTTTTTTTTTTTAAATTTTGCCAAGAACAAGAACCACAAGAGGAAAAGCAGGCGGGAGGACGGGCAGCTAGACTTTGCTATAATGCCACTAAAACAGAGCCACAAAGGGAGATGTTTGGTCGCCAGTATGCAAATAGGTACTCTGAAAAAAGAAAAAAACAAATGAAGTGCAGCCGTTTGTGCTGCCTCCTCTGAAGGATGGTTTAACCTTCACCACTCAGACTGTGCAACAGAGATTCAGCTTCGCCGTGGTAGACTTCACCTCAAAAGAGGCCTCCAAGGAGCCCATCACCACTTGCATGACTCTCTTCGGTGGTACTTGTGTCTGTCGTTACCTGTGAGATTATTTTTTCAGTTTGTCTTCAAAGTGCAATATATTTCTACTCATCATAAGAAGACGATGGAGCAGATTTAGACTCCAGCTGCTGCTATATGCCTTATGACTTTGGCCAGTGAACATCCATGTTGCCTCCCATTTGACTTTGATGATAGTTCCACTACATAAGCTTATTATCAAGTGAGCTCCTTTGGCATTTGCAAGGTCATTAATGGGTCAATAATTTAGCCCTTTTTTTGTAATTCTTCCTGTAAACAGTGCTTTTAGATTGAATTCACTTTATTACAAAAGATTTAATACTTACTGTTTCTCTCAGAAGATATATTTAGAAATGAATATTGTTATAGAACATGACTGAATTGTACTGGTTATTCTTCATTATTTTGTCCCTCAGTTTGGCAAAATGGAATAAACAAATAAGCGAGGTGCATGCGTATAGCTCTATCTGGTCATGTACATGTAGGATACAAAGTCCGAACATCACTGTTGCCTGGGAAGTAAATAAACAAAAAATAAATACATAAATAAACACGCTGGGAACCGACGCATTTGTAAAAAAAAATCTGTGGTACATCTAAACACCTGTTAAGTGATGCAGAGAGACAAAACGCTGCATAGTCACTTCGCACGTCGTCAGCTGAGTCAGTGGCATCTCTGGTGAGAAAAGTCATCGATCACATCCTCAGAGAAAACACGAAGAACCATCCCAACACTCGAAGCAGTTGGACATCACCGAACTCTGGATTCATCAGTGTTATGACTGTACAACTTAATTTGTCCATTTATCATGAAGAAACAGTAAAAACTAAATGTCTGCATGGTGCCAATTTGTTGATTTCACCTCCAGTCTCCACATATGTTTCTCCTGTCACACCACAGACTTTATGTAAAAGAAGGATGTAGTATTTGGGTCTGAAAGGTGGATGAAGTGCCTTAAACTGGCATTCTGTCTGACAGCCAGCAGGGGGCAACTCCTCTGACTGGAAAGTGAAAGATTGTCCAGAATGGCCCCAATTCTTTCTTAATTTGTTACCTAATAAACATTTTCTTAATGAGTTTATGGTCTCAATCCCTAGTTCCAAGTCTGCTTCAATGCAATGTGTTGTTCATTTTGTAAATAATGAATGCATTTAAAATAACAGACAATAAAGCAGAGTGTTGCTGCCTGGAATCGATAAGTCACTACCTTTAAAATTCAGGAAATTTGTTGCTTTACCAACTCGGATTTTGTTCACTTTGCTTATTTGTTGTTTGGGACCCAAAACTTTTTTTTTTTTTTTAATTTAGGCTGAATTTTGAGAATGTCATCTGTTTCCAGACAGGAATATTTACATTTTATTTTTCGTACAGACAGTACTGTTTGCAGTAGACCTAAATGATTGAATGGCTCCAGCAGAGGTCAAATTTATTATTTGACCTTTAAAAATGGGTAAATGTCATCTTTACTAGACTTTTTTTTTTTTTTTTTACCAACTTTTGAGGCCTTTAACATCAGTATAATTTGATGTAGTTGAAGTATTATAAGTCAGGGTTCCAGTGTTTTGCTATATGTGTATTAATTTGTAGGACCACAAAAACTGTTGGTCAATATATTGTCATTATATATGCAAAGCTACAAGTTGCTTCCATGTTGCTTCATGCCGTTTCCGCACATACATAAAATGAACACTGAACTGAGAAACTGCTGATAATTCCACACTCATCACAATAAATCTCATGTTTATTGAAACACATGGTGTCAAACGCTGTAACAACAAAACAAGAGGAAGAAAGAGGAGAAGCAGGAAGAAAATAATGCAAAACGGATTCACATTTGATTTACTTGCAGGAAGGACATTTTCAAAAGACATTCTTTGTAGTTTTAAATGTGAAGTTTGTGTTGTCTTCGCGTCCACATAGCTGGAGCTGGGATGGTGACACAACAGATACGATCAGCTGGAGGCCACTCTGACGACGCAGCCCGTGTGTTTCACAGCATGTAGTGACTGAGATATACCACTTTAAAGGATGCAGAGGATGTGAGGGTAAACTTTATGCACCCATGTGGGCCTCTCAAGAGTCCTCTATCTGATGATGTCTGTGATATCTTGTTTTAGAGATGTGCGATAAATGCAAAATATTGCTGAAGACAAAACTAAAGTTAAAATGATCAGAAGTTCTTCTCTGAACCACGCAGATGATTCAAGTAATTGTTTGAGACTCAAAGCAGGTAAAATGATTCACTACTAACTGAAAAAGTGTGTTTGGTAGATCAGTTTTTTTTATTCCACTAAACTATTAATTACCACATGACCCTCATGTTTATCTTGTTAGCTTTTGGAGGGACCAAAGCCCCACAGCTGAGAACCTCTAGACTAAACTTTAAAAGTGACAAAACAGCTCCACAGAAAGCACGCTGCACAGTTCACCAGATCAGAGTAACAATCTCATAATGGGATCAATCATCAATGATGGGTATGCAAGCACATATTTTTTCAAGAAATTCTCCTTGAATGCAAGTAATAGAGTATTTTAACATGGTTGTATTAGCTGAATAAAGGGTCTGAGTGTTTCATCCACCTGTCGATGCAAGTTAAAAGACGGTGAAGCAAAGCTCACGCCAGAAAAATATGAATTTGAAGCCATAAAGATGATAAATCTGTCTCAAGTTCTGTGCAAATGCTTTTTTTTTTTAACTTCATGCAAGTAACAACAAGTCAAAAAAGCAACTAAAACAACATTTTGAGGGAGAACTGGCAGAATTCCCTCCCTCCGTCTACCTGCCCCCTCCTCCTAAAGCCCTGAATCAGCACCTTCAGACAGACAGACAGACACCAGAGAGGCGTCTGCACATATAAAGGGCGGCAGGCAGCAAGCAGGACAGAGTGGCACTGTGGTGGTGGAGACACGTTACTCGTCCCGGGACACTGCAGAGGAAATATCGTCTGTCTGCCTGCTGGAGCCTTATCGAAATATCAATTGCAAAACTTCTCACTACTGTCACCTGAAGACAACATGGTAAGAGAATTGGAAATGGAGCAACTTTGATATTTGGTCATTTGGTTCCATTAATTGTACATAATATATCATATATTATTATGTATATTAGAAGTGTATGTATTACTTTTTCCAGATCACCTGACTGTTTTGTCTGCATATGCAATGTTTGATCAAACCTCCCCAACACTCTGCACTGAATGTATTTGAACTACATTTCATTTACTGTTTGCACTTTTCGTGTTAACTATTGCATACATTCTGAATTTCCGGTGTGTTATGTATTGACGCCCTCCCTTCACCTCTTCATCTTCAGCTTGTAGCCTTTTTACTGGTAAATATTTAACTTTCCAGATGTCTTTATTAATGTTCATGTTCTTCTTCAGCCTACCCGTGTCTTACAAATGTCACTCAACAACCAAAAAATCATCTAAGGGGATGTTTCTCCCTTCAGGGGAAACAAGCTGAAATTCTCAACATGTTCGAACCTGACTGCTGGAAGCACTTGGAAAACACAACAGTGAAGGATTTGAATAAGCTCGTCCTGTTTTTGATGTGTTTACACTTAACATAATTAGAAGAGCTGACGCAAATATGAGAAATAAGTCAGATATTTTTGCATTGCACTCTGAGCTGCATACCTAAGTTTTAAATTGACTTAATTGTGAATTTGAACCACAGTTGAAATTTAAATATTACTGTATTTCTGCTGGAAATAAATATTTTTTTAATGATAATCTTCAGGCATCTAAAATGTAAAACTGCTTTTTAAAATAGAGCTTATAGACGTGTAGATATGGGAAGTCAACGTTGTTCCAGATAATGATGCACCATATGGAAACAAAGAAAGGAGAACTAAAACAGCAACTGTGGCAATTCAACACTTTATAATATTTTCTTTTGGAATTGAAATATCATTTATCTGCACTTTAAACTGAGAAAACATAAGTATATTGGGTATATCAGGTTGAGCTGGCATCCCACGTACAGGGGCTAAAGTTCCAACACAGTGGTAGTAAGTTCAAGTCACTTTTCTGTCTCTCTCTTCACTATACTATCCAATAAAGGCCAAAAAAAATGTAGTATTTTGTCATTGTGCAATTTTACTGGAAGACTTGATTTGACCTTACTAATAATATATGACATGTTGCTAAATTTTCATGAGTCAAATTTGAAAAAAGTCAAATAAGATCAAAATATCTAGTTACTCAAGTTGGAGTTGTAAAAAAAGATCAAAGAGTCCTATCAAGGGGTACATGTCAAAGTAAAAGGTGCGATGAAAAAAGTTCAGATTCTGTTCCTGCTGGATTCTGCCAGGGCATAGAACAAACATCTGGATCCGCGTTACCTGCCCTTTTGTGCTGACTTGCAAGTACACATTTGCGATTTCAGCATAGACCTGCGGAAGTATCACCGTGTCAAAGTCTGTGAATGTCTCGATCCAGAGCCCAGAATGACCCAGCTTTAATGTTGAGGATCATCATGTTGAGGCCCACCAAGAGTTGGGTCTCCAACTACAACCTGGAGACCAAACAGCATCCTCAGATCAGGAGCGCAACCAAGTTATCTTTAACATTCACCCAGTGCCGGACTGTCAACATCGAGTTCTACAGTAACGTCCTGAGGCATTTAAAAGAGAATATTTGGTGCAAATGAGCTGAACAGCACAATGGCTTTGTTTTGTTTTTTTTTTTGCTTCTTGGAGATCTTCTGTAGCTCTTAGAAATACTTTAACCTAAATGACGGAGAATCTACATAGACTCCCTACAACTTCTTCCTCTTACCCAAAGTGAAATTCAAGTTGAAAACTCACTGTTTCAACAGTGTTGGACATCTATTGTGCATTGCAGACAGTGCAAGACATTCTTACAGAACAGGGATTCCAGGCTTTCAGGGAGAGTTACATGTGTGGCAGGAGCACTGGGAGCAGTGCATCTCTGCACAAGGAGATTACTTATACAAAGAGAGTGTTTTTTTTATTTATTTATTTATCTATCTGTCTATCTATCTATCTATCTATCTATCTATCTATCTATCTATCTATCTATCTATCTATCTATCTATTTATTTATTTATTTATATCATTGGCACAGTCTCACTTGATCACACCAATTAGCTCTCTGCCCACCCATCCCAGGTTTCTGTTTTTATAACTGTTTTTATCAAAAAGGTCTGTATTATTTTTTCTGCACAGAGAGAGTGCATCTCCATCCATGTGGGCCAGGCAGGTGTCCAGACAGGAAATGCATGCTGGGAGCTGTTCTGCCTCGAGCACGGCGTCGGTCCGGACGGTGTCTTCCTGGACGGTCCAGTAGAGGCAAACTCTCGTGAAGATCCATTCAACACCTTCTTCAATACTGGAAGCTTTGGCCGTCATGTTCCACGAGCAATATATGTAGACCTGGAGCCCACAGTAGTCGGTGAGTCTAAGTCCATTAAATGTGTTTATTTGAACCCTCTTTATCTTTCTTTTATCACCACCGTCTAATTATGTGTGGCCGTACATGTAGTGTGACGCATCTCCATCAACATGGGTCATGTAGGTAACACTGGTAACCAAGCAACAAGTGCAATAATGACTCCTTTACCTCTTTTTCAATGTGCATTATGTAAATATCAGGATGTACAACGCAGTGTCAATGGATTTTAGCAAGAAAAATGTTTTTCTTTCAATATGTTGTGTGAATTGTGCAGAAGCAGCTTTACCCTGGAAGACAAAGTTCCACAAACTACATCACTACAAATGATCATGAATTACAATTTTGTATTCTCTCCCAGGTGGTTTAATGCTGTGGCTGATGTATGCCAAGCATTATTTATATTTTTGACTTGCCAAATAACCTCTTGGTACATTTTGTCAGTTTTGTAACTGCATGCTATATGACATTGGAATGAAAACCTAATTGTAACAGCTTCTTTGTTACATTAAATACAAAAAAAATCTAGATATTTTTTGCATCATTTTACACAAAATTGCTATGAAGTCAACCTGATTTAGGTCTTCATATCTCGACTGTAAAAATGTTAAGCTTAATCATGAGTTTGCCACATTAATTGGTTGATGAGGATGTAAAGAGAT